CTGTCTAAGGTTTTGGTCATTTTGATCAGGATGTGTCTTGGGGTATTTTTATTCGGATTTCTTCTAGCTGGTACCCTTCGGGCCTCCTGGATGTGGTCACAAGTTTTCTTCAGCTCTGGAAACGTTGTAGCAATGATTTCTTTGACAGTTTCTTCTTCATCAAGGTTTTCTTCCTGTCCCTCTGGGACTCCAATAATTCTTATGTTACCCCTCTTGGCTTCATCACGATCTTCTCTTGCCATCTGTTCTCGAACTGTGAGTCTCTTTTCCATTTTCTGCTCTTTTCTGACAAGTCTCTGATCTTGATCTTCTAGCTCACTGATTCTGTTCTCAGCCGCTGTTACTCTGCTGCTGAGGCCTTCCACTGAGGTTTTCAATTCGGCTACCAGGTTTTTCAGGTCCGACATTTCCGATTGCATTTTCCTCATTTCTGCCTTCCAATCGTCTTGTCTTTTATTGGCATTGGTTTCCATTGTTTCTTTTAGTTCCCTAAGCATCCTAAGTAGCTCCATTTTTAATTCCTTGTCAGAGAAGTTGTCTAATGCTATAGTACTGTTGGTGTCTTCTGGGCTAGTCTCGTGAATAAGAAAGTTTGGTGGGCTTTTGCATTGCTTTACCATTGTGACCAGTGTGGTTTGTTCCTTCACACTCACTGTTACTGTCCTGGTTGAGTGAGGAGAGACTGCCAGGAGCCGTTCAGCTTTGTTGCTGCTAGATGGGCCTCTTCTACCTTTCTGAGTCTGACCTTCTTCTCAATCAGGCGTTATTCTTTGTTTTATAACTGACATTGAGTGAAACTTTTGGAGGAGGTGCTATTTACTACTGAGCTTGTATAGCTATTTTCAAACAGGACTTTTGTTGGAAATGGAGTAGGTGAGTGGGATTTTGTTGAATTGTAGTAGAAGAGGTGAGAAATTTTTGGTTGGTATTAGGTAACAAGTTGATGAAAAGGATGAAAGGATGAAGGTCCAAATTGCTTGGAGTGAGTGATATACCTGCGGCCGCATAAGCGTCCGCCCGCCCAGAAGCAGGCCACGCCCACTTTAGGAGGCCACACCCCCTTCCTAGAGACCACGCCCCTAGCCAGTCCCAGGCCACTCCCTCCCAGGATCCTGGATGGGGGGGGCCGGTGGGCTGCTGGGCTTGCCGGTCCCGGAGCTGGACGCGCGCTGGGGTCTGCGTTGTCCTCCTGCGGGGCTTGGTGGGCGGGCGGTGCGTCTGGGGTCAGGGGCGGGGCTCCGCTGGGCTCCTCCAACCCACCTGGATGGTGGGGGCCGGTGGGCTGCTGGGAGCGCCGGTCCCGGAGCTGGACGCGCGCTGGGGTCCGCGCTGTCCTCCGGCGGGGCTCGGTCTCAGATCTCTTTAATAGCCACATCCACTTGCCCATATACAAAATACCGCAGGATGGATATGTCGTTCCCAATGTTCTCCCTTCTGAAATCCGACACGCCATTTCGTCAATAAAGAAACGAACAGCACCCGGCCCAGACAAGGTCAGACCTGAATACCTGAAGAACCTGCCGTCAGTATTCATCAATATGCTGGCTCAGCTCTTCACAGGCTACCTTTCTGAATGCAAGGTTCTGTCCCAGTGGAAAACCAGCCGGACTGTACTACTGTACAAGAAGGGAGACATCCATGACATTGGCAACTATCACCCGATCTGCCCCTTGTCTGTCATCTACAAGTTGTTCGCTTGAGTCATCCTAAATAGGATTGGCAGAACACTAGATGAAGGACAACCATGCGAGCAAGCTGGGTTCCACAAAGGACTCAGCACTATCGACCATATCCACACAACAACCGATCTCATTGAGGTTTCTTGGGAGTTCAAGATGCTGCTCTGTCTAACGTTCATAGATTTAAAGAAGTCTTTTGATTCTTTTGAGATGGAGTCTTTTGATTCTTTTGAGACCGAAGCGGTCATTGAAGCCCTAGCCAATCAGGGCATTCAAACTCAATACATCAGCATCCTCTGTGAGCTGTATTATGGATTCACTACCAGGATCTCACCATTCTACAAAGAAGTGATCATCCATGTCAAGAGAGGGGTTCCGCAGGGTGATACCATTTCACCAAAACTCTTCAGTGCCACCCTCGAGAACATCATGCGATGACTGGAATGGGAAGGAATGGGAGTGAAGATAGATGGTTGGCAACTACACCACCTCCGCTTTGCTGATGACATTGTTTTAATAACACCAAATATTAGCCAAGCGGCACAAATGCTGGCTGACTTCAACCATGAGTGCGGAAAGGTCGGACTACAGCTGAATCTTATGAAGACAATGTTTATGAGAAACAGCATCGTTCCTGATGCCCCATTCACTCTCAACTGAACGAACATCTCGAATGCAACAGCTATGTTTACCTAGGTCGAGAAGTCAACATGTCAAATCACCTGGCACCCGAACTGCACAGGAGGAAGAGAGCGGCTTGGAACGCCTTCAACAGCGTCGAAGAAATAGCTAAGAGGACAAAGAACCTCCGGCTCTGGGCACATCTGTTTGATTCCACTGTTTTTCCTGCATTAACATACACCTCAGAGACCTGGGCCCTATGCAAACAGATGAGAAGGCTACTCAGGTCTCCCAAAGAGGAATCGAAAGAGCTATGCTTGGAGTAGCACGTTTCACTCAAATGAGAGAAAGAATCCGGAGTTCCGACCTCTGTCGACGATCAAGAATCAGGGACTCTGTCTCCTTTGCCAAGGTGTCAAAAATCAGTTGAGCTGGTCATGTAATGAGATTTAGAGACGACTGCTGGACTAGAGCTGTTACCGACTGGATTCCATGGGATGTCAAAAGACCGCGTGGCCGCCCACCTACCAGATGGTCAGACTTCTTCATCAAGATCATGAACGATGGGTTTGAGCCTCTTCTTTTTTCCTAGAGCGAACAGATGCCTTTGGGCTACAGTAGCACACGACAGGGACAAATGGAGACATTACTGGCGCCCACTCGAGCAAATCGATGATTAACGGGAAGTCAAGTGATCAAGTGATGAATAATGCTGGTATTCGTATTCATGTAAAAGTTTTAGAGTGAATATAATTTTTTTGTTATGTATGTAGGAATGGGATTAAAGTTAGGGTTACTGGCTCCTATGATAACTCCATATTTAGCATTTCGAAAAACTGAAGAACATTTTTTGTAGTCTCTGCTCTGTCTTACATTCAAACCTTTTATATGAGTTCTAATTTTTCCCTACCCTCACCTACATTTATCTTTTCATTTCATAAAGTACTATCACATAACTCTTGTTTGTTGGCAATTTGTATTTATTTAGCAAAGTGTCTGTTCAAATATTTTTTCCATTTTTAAATTGGGTGGTTGGTCTATTTACTGTTGAATAAGTTCAAAAGCCTTCCATATATTTATGATTTACAAGGTTTGTATATTTTCTAATTACGTGTGTTGCTTTTCACTTTATTGGCAGTGTCCTTTGATTCATAAAATAACTTAATTTTTCTAACATATAATTTATTTCTTTGGTGCTTGTGCTTTAGATGTCATATAGAGGAAACTTCTTTCTAATTAGAGGTCATGAAGATATATGTTTATGTGTTTCTGGTTTTGTTTTGGGGGCTACTACCAAAACAAAAGCCTCATATTCAGGGCTTACTTCTGATTCGGTGTTCAGGGATCACTTCTGGTGGGGCTCAAGGAACTATTTGTGTTTAGAGTAATTGAATTGGAATGGGTGCCTTGCAAAGCAAGCATCTTGTCCCTATACTATCTCTCAAGCTCCACTTCTTTTTGTTTTTTGTTGTTTGGGGGCCACACCCAGCAGTGTTCAGGACTTACTACTGATTCTGTGCTCAGAGATCACTCCTATCAGGGTATGGAGGACATACGTGGTGCCAGGAATTGATCCCAGGTCAGCATGTGCAAGACAAGTGTCTTTCCCATTGTACTATTTCTTTGACCCTTTCCAGCCCTGCTTCTATGTGTTTTTATAACTATAGATTTTATAGTAGAGTCTGTGATGAGTACTTTTGATCAATACTGGTCATTTTAGGTCAATGCATGGTATGTATTAAGGTTCAAAATTAAATCTTTTTTGCATGTGGATATTAACATACCTAACCACTATTTATTTAAAAGACTTGTTCTTCTCCATTAGCTGTTTTGGAAACAGTTGAAATCAATTTATTATGCAGTTAAATGTGTATTTCTGTACTCTCTGTACTACTGAACTTATCTTTACTGACCTGTATGTCTGTCCATATATCCATATCACACCAGTATTGATCATAATACTTCTGTAATGAGTCTTTAAATTGTGAAGATGGAAAATGTTAAGTCCTTTAACTATTGTGTTATCTTTCAATATTGTTTTGTCTATTTCAAGTCCACTGCATTTAGATGTGAATTTTATCAATTTTGGAAATTTGATTTATCCATTTTTAGAAAGGAGTCAGATGGAATTTTTTAAAGGAACTATATTGAATCTGTTACTTTAAGCAGTATTAGCATCTTTACAATATTGTTTCTAGTCAACACAGCATGTCTTTCCACTATTTGTCTTTTTTATTTCAACAACATTCTGAAGATATTAAAATGCATGTTTTTTAAAAATTCTTTAGTCATATTGCTTCCTAAATAATTTTTCTGACGCTATTGCAAATGAAATTACTTTCTTTATTTCAGTTTAGGAATATTAAATGTAAGTACACACAAATAATTTATGTATGTGAACTTGCATCCAGAAACAGGGCTGAAATTGTTTACCTAATCTAATGGTTTCTTAAGGGGTTACTTGAAGTTGTCCAGGGATACTGTCATGCTCTATAAACATTATTGGTTTAAAAATTCTTTACATAAATCTTGACAAAATTATATATTTTTTCAAATGATAGTTATTTTATGAGAAAATTATATTTTCATTGACTGCACTTTTTAGTTAGGCAAAATAATCATCTTTTACAAATTTCCTGTGAATTCCAATTATTCTCTTCTCCAAACCACTACTCATAGTCATGAACACCTAAAACTCACTTATGAGAAGACTGAAAGTTCATCCCAGAGTGGATAGATAATGTCCGAATCATATCCTTCTGTTCCTGGGATAAAATGGGCACAGAACTCGAGGAAAGTGTGTACAGTAGGACAGAAAATGCATTCTTGAGCTCACTTGAAGCGGAGATCCTCACAAATAATTCATCATTCATGATGCAAAGGCTGTAAGAAAATTGTACACTAAGACACTGGATAAATGTATAATCCAAAACCCACAATAATCACCCTCTTTCTATTGCCACTTAGTAACCAGATTCCTATCACTCTTGCTGTGCCTGCCTCCCATAGCCCTTGCATAGTACCTACATCCATCCCCTTAAAAACCCTTTGCTGAGAATGTCTGCCAATTCATTATACTTTTAGGTTTAATTACATTGTGTTAATTTGTAAGTCAGTCCAAGATAATGGCGAGTCAAACCATATTTCCCAGTAAGCACTGGAGTCACGGAGAGGTCATATGATTTAACTGAGGTCACATACCTAGCAAGTGTTGGTTGGCATCAAGATGAGAAGTCAATATTGTGATGCCAAAGCTCATGCTTTCAACCCCTAGGCAACATTGGTCATTGCATTTAACTGTTGGTGGTCCAGAATGTTGAGAAAATCCTCAGGGTTCACCTCCACATTTCTGCACTGCTGGCCCAAAATTGAGATAAGTATGCACACCCACAACACAGTACTCACCTGGGATTTCTGGCAGGGACAGTGATGAAGGTCCGGGTAAAGGTACAAAGAGAACTCTGATAGTTTATGTTCACTTCAAAAATAAAAAACAATAATGCCCCTTTAGAGTCATATGCTTTACATGCTCATACACTGCACCCGAATCAGGGTCTTACTTGTTATTCATGAAAAATGGGAACAGCTGTTCTCTGGGAGCTAGAATGTCAGAAATTGGAAGGGCAATAATAGAACAATATTCTTCCACTGACGAATCACACTAATGTTCCAGTCCCTAAACATCTTAGTTCCACTATATAAACCTTTTTACAAGTTAGATTTATTTCTTTGTGAGGTGACAACCATTTTACAAGCTCCTTTTATTTTTTTCAGACCTGTATGTCTGTCCATATATCCATATCACACCAGTATTGATCATAATACTTCTGTAATGAGTCTTTAAATTGTGAAGATGGAAAATGTTAAGTCCTTTAACTATTGTGTTATCTTTCAATATTGTTTTGTCTATTTCAAGTCCACTGCATTTAGATGTGAATTTTATCAATTTTGGAAATTTGATTTATCCATTTTTAGAAAGGAGTCAGATGGAATTTTTTAAAGGAACTATATTGAATCTGTTACTTTAAGCAGTATTAGCATCTTTACAATATTGTTTCTAAAGCTTCCCCCAAAGATAGGTAGTATCAGCCTACTTTACAAATGAGGACACTGAGAACTTAAATTACTGACACATGTTCTCAGAGTTTAAGAATTTTGGTGAAAGTTATCACAGCATACAACATACAATCTATGTCCCTAACTCCCCAGCAGTATGAGGCAGACAGGCACATACCAAGGGTGGTTTTGGGGCAGATAAGGTATAAGAACACAGATGGAAGGGAAAGAGAATGGAAGGGATGAGGGAAGGTTGGTATTGTGAGAGTGAGTTCAGCCAGGAGGAGAAAGCAGTGAGAAATCTTGGGATGAGGCTCTACACACTCACCTTCTTTGAACATCCCATGGACAGAAAAACAGATCATGGTTTCCTGTAAGGGAAGAGCCCAGGTGCTCAATCACCACCTAAACGCCCTACACACCTATGGTTTTCTACTTATGCCTGTGGAAGGAAGCAGGTGCTCACCGACTGCATCCACACATCTATCATAAGGGTGTCGAGGTCATGCTCTGTCTGAGGCAATACGCAGAGGAAACGGACAATGTCATGTTTTGTATGCTTTAGCAGCTGTGCCCGCAGATCTGGGTAGTGGTGAGGAGATACAGTCATAAATCAGTGATTGCCACATCCCAGACCCTATGAATTGACTCTATCACATCCCACTTATCTGCCCCATCTTTCCCACAACACACTTACCAGGGTCCTTGAGTATCTTCATATTCCTATTGTCCTTTAAATACTCACACAAGTGGTTTCTAAGATATAAAGAGGAACAGAAGGTGGTGGTCTGGTTAGCATGGGCATTTCCAGTAATTAGCCTGTGTCTTCTGGTAATCCACAAGGCTCAGGACTAGAAACTAAACTGTGATACTCACGAAGATGGATCTTCATCGTTGAAGGGAATAGACAGAGAGAAGCAGGCTTCGTCATGGTAAGCATCCAGGAGCCCTCGCCGATCTCCACAATCATAAATCCAGAAATACCTGCAAGGAAGCAATGAAGACAGCTTTTGTAATTTGGGCGGTCTTCCAAACTTGAATATCTCTGTAAGCAGACCCGTGCTGGATGGCCCAGCAAGTTCCAGTCTTCCCTTTGTGTGTGTGTGTGTGTGTGTGTGTGTGTGTGTGTGTGTGTGTTTCTAGGGGCACTTACTGCTTAAGGAAATGCATAATCATATTCTTCAGTGAATCTGATTCTTCTTTTTTCTGTAATTAAAAGACATTTGAGACTAAATGGCAGGCAAAACCACCTTGAAATACCATGGTTTCTTTTGATTTTTCTTCCTCACCTTGCAAAGGTTCGAGTGGGAAACACTGTCATTAAATGACTGGCATAACTTCAGGCCATCCTGCAGAAATAAAGTAGTCAGTAGTAGATAAAAAAGTTTGAACAATAAAAAGAATGGGTCCAGAAGCATATGAAGGTTAGAGTTAGGATGGGAAGTGCACTGGATATTACAGGGACAAGATTACAGTGGGCATCATTATCATGATATCATGAAATCACTACCATTTTATTGCATCCCTGTGAATATTTGTAGGGGGTGAGGGCTAAATGATCCCAGACAGTATATTATAGGATTCCATGTCCCCTAAAATTGAACAAGAGTTTGAAGCAAGAATGTAAGGGAAGTAAGGCCCAAAGGTTAAGAAAATAGGTAGGGAGGTTGAAAATGTTCAAAAGAGACAATGATAGGTACAGATACTTACCAGACATAATAGTGTGGGAAAATAATCCCGAATGGCACTGTCCAAATCCAAACATAGAAAGAAGTTATTGAATGATCAGGGTTTCAGAGATTTTCATTTTCCCTCTCCTCTCTTTTCCTTCTGAGTAGCAGCATCTACTTTCTATTACTCCATGTCCCTTTTCCAGTGCCACAACTGGCAGCAATTAGAGCCCAGACTTAAGGGATTTCTCTGTCTTTGGCTCCTCCATGTAACCACTGAAGGCTCCAGAAGGAAGAGGGTGTGAGGTAGAAATCCAGGCTTTTGCCATGAAAAGGGTGTGGATATTTTCCAGAACCAAGATAAACCTGAGAGGCGGCCCCTGGAACCCCAGTAATGAATGAAACACATGCATCTGTTGGGATGTTTTTTGACCCTTGGCCACATTGTGAGTTCAGGCTGAATTAGGCTTCAGAAGCAGATAAGCCAGAAAAAGAAACAGAGAAGCCATGGGGACAGAAAACCTTCCCCAGAGGGAGTAAGAATTAGGCCCTAGACCTCAGTTCCCTCGCCTAATCAACACCTTCTTCCTGATGACCTCACAGGGTTAATACAGAATCTGTGTCTGTATTAATTTGTTCCTGACCCGAGGAGTCATACCTGTGTCAGGCAGGCTACCTGGAGCTATTCTGAAGAGTTTTGCAGGATTATGTGGCATGTGAATGGAGGGAGAAATAAGATCCCTGATAAGCCTGTTCTTTTTCCTCAAGTTCTTCTGACCTATCTTCCATTCTTTCCCCATAAAGCCCTATTGCTCACAATCAGTGGCCCATTTTTAGCTCCTCTGTTTAGGGAACCCAGTTTCTTCAAAAGAGGTCCAGATTCCTGGCTTAGGGCTAGAGCAAAAGACATCCAGAGTGTCATCCAGGGCCTTGCATCTCAGCATGGGGCAGGCAAGCCCCATGTTAACTTAGGATTGAAGTGAGAACTAACTTTTGGAGCAAAAGACGGCTTCTCCTAGAACACTGAAGGAAATCCCAACCTAAGCATACTATATGAAGGAGGTCCTGAACTGGAGAACCCTTCTCAGTCTAGGGAAGTAGCATCTGGCCCAAGGATGGCCACATCTGATACTAGTTCTGAGAGGGATTCCTGATCCAAGGAGCACAATTTGGGAGGGAACGCTTAAAGAAAGCTGGATGCAGAATCAGAAAACTGACCAGACTAGGACAATAGATGACAAGTCTGTGAAGTATATTTTCTTTTGTTCATATGGCTGTACCCAGATGTTCTCAAGGCTTACTTGTGGCTCTGTGTTCAAAGTTCACTCATGGCAGGGCTCAGAGGTCTATATGTGGGGCCAGGGATTTAACGTGGGCAGAATTTGTGCAATGAAAGCACCTTACTCACTGTAATATCTCTCTGGCCTCTTAGGAAGAAAATTCTTTACAGGCAATGGACACAGAAAGAAGGGGCTTGGCACTGTGCTCTTTCCAGAGGATCAGGGTCATAGCTTTGTGCATTCCTTTCATTCTCATGGGACAGATATCTCATGCTTTGAGGGGCAAAGTTCCCAGTAAGCATGACAGGAGATCACGCTGACCTTATGTAGGAGGAATTGTCTGGAAAGGTTCCACACACTGGGTTCCCTTCCAGCCACAGCTCTTCAAGCTTCAGTGTTTTTATCTTGCTCAGCTCCCACATCGACTTCAGCTAAGAAATATGGGGAAAAAACTGAAAACGAATCCCAGAGAAAGAGATACATCAGAGCATCCACACCTCCTTTCCCTCCCTTACAAACACTTTTGCCTATTTGCTGTCATTACTCTGATGGCACTATCCTCCTCCCCCTACACACTCACACACTGCCAACCCTACTTTGACCTGTCTGCCTCTTCTCACTTCATTTTTGGAGAGGTTCAGGATTTTGATTGTGGTGACCTTCTGTGTAATATCAGACAAGCCATCCAGCTGGTGCAGTTTGTTCTTGCACAAGTTCAAAGACAACAGCTTTTCGAAAGAAGAATTAGCGTAATGAGTACTATCAAGAATCTGGGAGAAAAATATGCCCTCCATCCCTTTTGTTACCATTGTAGTAGCCCTGAAAATAAGACCTCACCTCAGGGAAACTCCTTTCTATGATCTGCAGGACAGCAAACATGCAGTTTCTTCTATTCAGGACTATATCAATAGCATGGTTCACCAAGTCTTCAAGAAGCCAAGAGAAAGAAATCAGAAGGCTGAGAAGGGTCCAGGGTAAGCAACATCCCCTCGCCAAGTTACCATCCCTATATTTTCCTCCTAAAAAGATACTTTTACTTTTTTATTTTATTTTTATAAAGTTGTTCGTAATAATTGATTACATTTAATATTAAAACACCAATCCCACCACCATTGCACATTACCACCACCATATTATGAATGTTTCCATCCTGAACCCTAAACCCTGCCCCCAAAGCAGAGCAGAAGTAATTTAATATGTATTGCTTGTTATGAATAATCTGCTAAAAAATGATACTAAAAAGCTTTCTTAGAGGAGTGTGTGAAGATTGTTGTATTTCACCCAGGAGCCAGTAAACTCTTCTATAAGATATAAGTAACATGTTGTTAAAGGTTGAACCTTGTGTGCATATATTTTAATATATGCATGCATATATCCTAAACAGACAATTGTGCCTGTGCCCTTACTTGCCCTAGATTCACTGCTATCAACTTTACCTGGGTCATAGCGGAGCTTTCGGAGATCAAGAGATTTTTGGGAATCGTCGTACCTTTTTTTCATGGTCAGCTGCAGAGAGAGATTGAGAGATAAGCACTACGGTTGTAGTGATGGAGAAATCTCGGTTGAGGAAGAAGCAGTACATGATCCCAAAGGTGAAATGACTCTGCATTACCTCTAGCTGCTCCATTTCTTCTGGCTTCAGTTTATTCCGCACAGAGAAGGGCTCAAAAGATTGACTGACAAAGATACAAATCTAGAGGAAGGAGAGGAGAGGTAAGGTAAGCCCCAGGAACTCGATTTATATAGAAACAATAATCCTCTGGGCTGGCCTCCTGTCCTAGGACTTAGTGCAAGTAATGCCCTCACCTTTTGGTTCTCTTCATCAAGAATCTTACAGCTGACATCCCTCAATGCACAGGCAACACTAGGATCCTGGATGAAAAACCGAGCCCGGCTTTTCACATAGTGAAACTGCAGAAGAGGAGAAACAAAAATTTTAGAGGCAGTTTTCCTGCTCAATACGCTGAACATTCACCCTTCCTTCGGCCCACTCATCTGGCTTCACCATCCTCTCTTACATCCACTGGAGTAAAGGATACACTGCAATGGCTCTGGATGGTAGTAATGAGCCACATCTTGTCATACTTTCTCCCATAGGGAATCTAAGTGTGGAAAGAAAAAATGGGTGAGATCAGAGAATATGGAATTAGGGCGGGATTAGGAGAGATATGACATAGTATTATTTCCCTACCCTCTACTAAGCTTGAAAGAGCTTCTAATGAAAGCACTGTTGACAAATTTTCTATTTTGAAACCAAATATGGATTCTTAAATACATTTTACTTCATTCCAAGTTCTCAAAATTAACAATTGCAGCTGTTAGTATGAGTTTCAGTTTATAAAGCTCCAGGAGATTCTACATAGTATAAACTTTGCTTTCACTTCAGGAAAGATTCCCAGAGACAATCTGAACCATATCTTCCACCCTCAGATTGAGCCAAATTGAGGCATCCTGTGTGGAACTGCTCCATGGCATCAATTTCCACTTTTCCTTTTAGACAATCTCCCACATTCTCCACAAAGAGGGGGCTGCAGCCATTCCATGGACCTTTATATTGCTTCTCTAAATTTGTCTTATTTGAAAAATGATGTTAATTTAAGTAATAAAGAGAAAAAACAAAACATTCATAATGAAATATCTTCTACTGAACTTTCTCTGTCTGCCCCCCCCCCCCCCCTCCAATAAACACTCCCAGAAAACTCACTGTGATCTTGAACCATTTCCCCAGGCTTTCATCTTGTGAATTATCTCCTGTTTTAATTTCTGGAGATTTTTCATCTGTCCACACAGTAACACTGATATTGCCTTCGCATTGCCATCTCACTCTCCTCTTGTGTCTGATGGTGTAGGGCATGCTACGGGGTGACATGGAAAGGAGGGCAGTCATAAATGCTAATAAAGTGTTTCACATGCTCATACCTGTCAGACACCAGGCTGCAATTAGCATAGCTCAATTATAATTCCACTTGTTGTTTTCTTCAGTTTTCAAAGTAGAAGAAAAAGATGACCATGCAGACAGAGAGAGTAAATCAGTCCCACAATTCCAGTCCTGGGGGTTTCTATGCACAAACTAAGATATCTTGCCACTTACTATCTTACGTGGAAGTCCCTGTGGATATCCTTCATCTTCTTTCTTTGTTCCTTAAGATGTGAAGGGTTAGATTCATATTCATCATGATAATAATGACCACGGTTTTTCTTCCAATAATTATCTTGGAAGTAACTCAAACATTTTCTTCTTTGAGATGAGCTATAACCATCATCATATTCTGAAAAGGAAAAATGTAAATTTGAGATAAAGTAACTTTTCATGTACCCCGTCTTAGGCTAACACTCTGACAGGGGGATGCAAGTACCAATATGCCTACCAGGACTGATCACACAACCTCCAGAAAGGAAATATCTCTACTTTTCCAAAGAGGAAAATCTTCTCTGATAGATGGATCAGGGTAGAAAGGTTGACAAAAGGGGGAAGGCAGGCATAGGTAGTGCAAGATGTCCTGAAACACTTTCAAAAATGGAACTGGAGTGATCAAAAAGATAGTACGGGGATATGGTGCTTGCTTTGCAGGTGGTCAACCCAGGTTCAATACCTGACATCCTATATGGTCTCCCAAGCGCCGCCAGGACTGATCCTTGAGTGCAGAGCCAGGAGTAAGTCCTGAGCACTGTCAAGTGTGGACACACAAAACGGCAAGCACTCTACCACGTACATCTCCAACCTTGTTTCTCTACCTTTCCCTCCCCTCCCTTCTTCGTTTCTTTCATTCTGGTACATTGCCTTATCTCTCTTTCTTTATTTCATTTTGGCCACACCCAACTGCTTTCAGGGCTTACTCCAGACTCTGTGAGGTAATAGGGATCAAAATTGGGCTGCTTGGCGTGACTTACCCATTGTATTCTCTCTCCAGCCCCAGTCTTACAGAAAACATTTGGTTTATAAAAACCATTACTTGTGATCATACAAGCAAGACAGTTTCTTTAAGGACACGAGTGGGCCTTCTTCCAACCTACCAATTTATTTATTGCCAATTATTATTGGCAACTTATTGCCAATAAAACTTTTTCTCAACCAATGTGTCTCTTTACTTGTTGACCCTTAAGTGGCAATAGAGCTAGACCTTCAAGATTATAGGAATGAAGAATAATCCACTGAAATGTGAGGACTGTATCTAAACATAGCATAACCAAGCATCTCTTAATTTATATACCTCTTCTAAAAAACACCCTTTTATGACTTTCCTGAGGATTAAGTGAAATCACTTTTATGACAGAGCTTGATATACAATAGGAAGTAACAAAATGGCAGCTGTGTAATCAAATAATAAAAGCAAAGTGTTTTTAAGTGTTATTAATTGGTATTAATTAAAACACAACACTAGAAATGTGGCTTATCTGTAGAATGTATACCTCAAGTATGTGAGGCCCTGGTTTCAATCCTGAGCACCACAGAAACCAAAAACAACAGATTACACTAACTTAACACTCCCCAAAGCCCCAGGTAATGCTAAAAATGAAAGAGACTTCATTTTCTGCTCATTCTTATAGGTAAGTTGTATACTGCTCTTCAAGCAAGGCACTTCTTTTCCCTGTAGATAGAATTTCTTAATGACTATTCTTATGCACTTATTTCTTATCATCATGATATAAGATAAGTAAATTGATGGCACCTGTGAAGAACTTAAAGTGGAACATTTAAAACAAGAGAGGCTGAGTAATAAGAAATAATAACAATATGCTTCTTAATGAGAATAGATTATAATTATTAGTACACATACACTACATTGTTCTTAATAAACAAAAGTACAATGTTGAAGTTTATTTTGACCATGGCTCCCAAAACAAAATAGTAGTCTCACAAATGATCTACAGAAAATGTTCCATTCCATATAAATTAAGGATACTGTATACAATATGATTGTTTATATTCCAACCTAATCTCCAGTGCACTGCTTTACAAGGGTATTGAGAGGTATACACCTTCATGAGCGGGACTAGGGGCATTATAAAAAAGAGAGATTCCCAGAGACTATTCTTACCATTTCTTTCCTCCATGTTAAGACATAGCAAAAATACAGCTGTTTATGAATCAGGAGCAGGTTTTCATCAGACAGTTACCCTCCCGATAACATGGATTTGGGTCTCCCAATCTCCAAAACTGTGAATTTTCTGTTGTTTATGCCGCCCAGCCCCAAAGCATTCTGTTACAGTGGCCTGAAAGAAGAAAGATACTATCTCTCCCTTTTTGAGATTCAAGAGGGTGTTAAAATATCATCTAAAAACAATCCAAAATGCTACAGCCAATTTAAAAATCTTCTTCACAAAGAAAGACACTCAAGCTCTAATAAACAGATGCTCTAATGTGAGAAATTATTTTTACACAAAACTTCAGATAAAGGGTTGATAATCAAGATCTAAAAAGCACTCACAGGCCTCAAGGAAATGCAGCTATCAGTTGAGAACCTGGCAGAGGGCATTTTGTATAATAGTGTCCATTCCCACAGTTTTTGGTATGTTTGGCCAGTTGCCAAAAAAACATGAGCCCAACAGAGGATTTTTCTTGGGATAATACTTAAGCGTTGCAGTCAAGTAAGGTTTGATCCCAGTAGGGGATTGTGAATAATTCTGTCTCATGAGTGTTTTGAAGAAACCACTTTTTGTATTTCATTTTCTTTGATTTGGTGATCTGTTTGAGGCAGGTTTCCTTTTTGGGCAGCATGACGGGAGATTAGGGAAGTGTTGGTAGGTAACTGGTTAAACATCAGAGTGAAGTTTGTGTTAAAAGACATACGAACTTGGAATTGACTGGGAGGCCAAAGATGTAAAGAAGATTCTAGATGTGAGAAGTAAGTTGTGTGTTGATGGTGTGTGTTTTGTTTGCATGAATGAGAATTTGTAGATGATGTTTAATTTTAGGTAAATTCTTGGCTCGAACAATCATTGTCAACAGAAGATCACGCTGCAAATATTTATGTTTTAAAACTTAAGTTATAAAGCTAGTTAAATCTTTCTAACAACTAGTTTTAATATTCATAGTACAGTTTATGTAAGTTACCTTTTACATTAAATATAAAAAGATTCATGTTAATACAGATTGGATATTGGGAACCAGTTTAGGGAAAAAAAAGAAAAGCGGTTTCTTTCGTACTACAGAAAATATCTTGTAGGAAATTGGGCAGATTGCATATCTAATTTTTAAGACTAGAATGCTAAAAAATATGAAGGAAATTGAGAATCCCTTGTTACAAAATTGATCTGTGAAAAAAGATTGTTACTGGAAATTGAGTGAGACTTGAGGCCTTTCTTCCAGAAAACAAGGACTTGTCAGTCCTATATTAGGTTCTGAACCTTAATGCCATGTATTTGTACTTATTAAAAATTGTTTCAATGAAAAGCATATTAGTAATATGAACTTATGGTCTAGTTGGGAGTTCTTCCATTTGAAAAATGTGATATTTGCTTGGAACCTTTTGAATATTTGTGTTTTCTTGGTTTCCCCTCTAATGGATAGAATTAAAATTAGCATTTTCCCTTTTGATATAAGAATAAAGAGCAAACATTTTATTTGTAAATTGATGTTTAGTAAATAGAGATAAACTTGAAATAGTAGAATACATTATAAGCCTAATCTTAGGTAGTCTTATTGAAATGTTACTCTTAACTATCTTTTGAACCTATATTCACATTGGTTTTCAAGATATTTTAAGTTATATTTTTCCTCTTTTCAGAGATGATTTTGGGGGGAGGTTTAAAAATTGAGGTGTAATGTACAAGTGGCTACATCTTTTTGATAGGGCTTCTTTATAACTGGCTGGATGCTTTACTCTAGTCTTCCAAGAAAGGGCCATTTTATTTTTTAGAAAAGTCACGTGGTCTTTACCTTTGGGGACTACTTTGCATCTGTGTGCTAATACAAATTTGGACCCACGTAGACCTCATCAGATATTACCCCATGAATGTTGACAATGGAAGGAACGAATGCCTTGCCTGTAGTATATCAGTTCTGGGCTGAAAAGCTGGGGGAGAAAATTTTCTTTTTTGTATAAATTAGGAAAACAGTGTGGAGTTCCATTGTTGACCTCAGCAGATGAACTGAGCTTATAGTGTTAATTCCGCTTCAAGGAATTATCTGAATCTTGGTTTGTGTAGACTTGTGATCTACATGCAATATTAACTAAATGAGATAGCTTTTATAGTACCATAATGTACATAGGCTCTCCCCACCCTTTCAATATCCATTAGCTAATGAACTTTGTAAACTGGCATTGAAACATCACGGCAATGTTTCGTTGCACCAATTTTATAAACTTTTACAGTGCAATACATGCTACTTTTCAGAGACAAACCAAAGGTTAATTTCTCAAGGTTATTTCTGCTGGCTTTAGCAGCATATGATGGAGGATCTTTTATATACATTTGTAATAGATGAAAACTCAGATTGAAAATCGTTGTTTTAAAAAGCTTAAACCATGTACCAAGGTTTTGGTCCAAATTGTGCAGGGTAAGTTAAACTTAAATTGCATTCTATTAATCAGTATGAGTGTATTTCTGTAAGCATAGTTATGTTGAAATAAAGATTAAAAAAGCCAAAAAATAAATAAATAAAAATAATAAGCACTCACAAAACTCACCTTCAAAAATTCCAGTGACCCTATCTATAAATGGGGTAAGAGGATAAACAGACACTTTTCCAAAGAAGACATATGGATGTCCAACATATAAAAACGTGCTCATCATTACTCATAATTAGAGAAATGTAAATCAAAACAACAATGAAATATCATCTCATACCTGTGAGAATGGCACATCCAAAAGTCTGGAAATAGTGTTGGTGGGGTTGTGGTGAGAAAAAATATATCATCTGGGTCAGCTTCTATGGAAAGCAATGTGGAGATCTCTCAAAAAATAAGAACAGAACTCCTATGTGACCCAGTGATACCAGTTATTGGGATCTATCTCAAAAATACAAAAACTATAATTTGCATGGATATATGTGCACCTGTGTTCATTGCTGCACTTAGTACAAAAGCCAAGATATGGAAACAACCCAAATTCCCAACTATGGATGAATAGATCAAGAAGATGTGGTATATATACACAATGGAACAGTATGTATCTCTAGAAAAAAACAAAATTATGCAATTTTCATCAACTTGCAGGAACTAAAGGATATCATGCTGAGTGAAGTCAGTCAGAAGGAAAGGGACAGACATAGTGTGATGTCTCTCATACATTAAACTTAAAGATACATAGGGAGGTAGTAACAAAGGTCCAAAGGCAACCTAATGGGAGAATTGATACACACAATTTTGGGGTAAATGAAAAGGATCGGTGTTAGGGTTTTCAGGTAAGGGAGTGGTTATGGGTATAGTGTTGGAATTATGTGCATGAAAAAGCATTATTAATAGTATCATAAACCACAGGATCTAGGTAAAAATAAAAATATAAAAATTAAAACAGTCTAAAATGAAAATTATTTTACCTTCATTCGTGTCTGTCCAATCATTCTTGTAGGACAGAATAAACTTTTTTTGTTGTCTTTCAGACATAATGCTTTGTAGAACAAACCTTGGAGTGCTGAAATGATAAAAATAAAGAATAAAATGTATAAAACATCACTTCATATGGGAAGATAGTACAAAGGTTTGAAACACAAAGCTATGGCATACATAAGATTCTAAATTTAATCTTTGGCCCACAAGGTCCCAAGTACTGTCAGATGTAGCCCTAGTGGACTCTGAGCACAATTGAGTGTGACCCTGATGGCATCCAGCAACTCTAGGTCCAAGAGCTTAGAATCATCTTCTTCTTGGAGTAGTGAAACTGCCAGCTGTGTTCCAAAATTCTTTGGAGTGGCTCCCATGACCCCCAAACACTGCTGGGGAAGACCCTAAATATATATCACAAGTTATATATGTGATTAAAATCTTACTATAAATACAAACACTTCCCTTTGTCTGCTTAAGTTTATTCATTCAGTGATTATTTTAAGGCGTCACCTATTATTCTACCAAACGTTTTCTTAAATTCTTTCATTAGCTTTTCCAGAAAGAAAAGGAGATTGAAATAGTACAGTCATTTTGGAAATGATAAGGAGTCTCTTGAAGAAGGTAAACATAAAGCTAAGCTAAACAAGGAAGCTAAACAAAGAAGCTAAACATATATGATCCAGCAATCCCATTTCTGGGAATCTATCTGAGTAAGATTAAAAAGTTAACACAAAAGCTTACATACATACATTCCAATTTTATTGCAGAATTATGTACATTATCTAAGATATGGAAAAAAACTAAATGTCCACCTAAATGCTCAATCTAGGGGCTGGAGAGATAGCTCAGTTGCCTTAGTGCAAATCTAGTTTGGAGGTGACGCATGCACAGATCTCCAGAAGAACAGCTGGCTGCATTCACCTCCAAAAAAGCATAGAAATTTCTATTTTAGATAAAACTGACAAACCTTTAGCTAGATTAAATAAAAAGAAATATTCAAATAAATTAGAAAGAGACTAACACCTGACATCAGAAAAATATAAAGGATCACAAGAGAATCTGAACAGTTAAATACAAAAATTGGATAACTAAGATGAAATGAATTCCTAAAAATACAATCTAGTAAGTATGAATCCAGATAAGACAAAAATTTGAAGAGACCAAGATAAGCAAGCAGACTGAAATGAAAATCAAATCCTTTCAACAATAACTTCAAAACTACACGGATTCATAGTGTAGACCGATAATACAGTGAGTAGGGTGTTTGCCTTGCACACAGTTGACTCAGGTTCAATCCTGAAACCCCATATGGTTTCTCAAGGCTACCAGAAGTGATCCCTGAATGCAGAGACAAGAATAAGCTCTGAGCACCATTGGTTGCATCCTCCAAACAAACCCAAACAATAATCCCCCTCCCCCGCAAAAAACCCCAAAACGTAGATAGGTTCACTGGTGAGTTACACCAAGTATTTAAAAAGAATTAACACTAATCCTGTAACAATTTAAAAAACTGAAGAGGAAACAACCATAAAGTCATTTTTTAAAGAGGCCAGAATTACTTTTACCAAAGCCAGACAAGAATCTCCAGGCAAATATCCCTAATATTGATGAAAAGTTTGACAAAATTCTAGTGAAATGAATTCAGCAGCACGTTAATTATCATAGGTTATGATCAGGCGGGATTTATTCCTGAGATTGAAAGATGGCTAAATATATGCAAACTAGTAAACGTGACACAGCGCATTACTATAGCACTGTCCTCCTGTTGTTCATCCATTTGCCCGAGCGGGCACCAGTAACGTCTCCATTGTGAGACTTGTTACTATTTTTGGCATATTGAATACATCACAGGTAGCTTGCCAGGCTTTCCCATGCGGGCAAGATACTCTCGGTAGCTTGCCGGGCTCTCCAAAAGGGGCGGAGAAATCGAATCTGGGTCGCCCCAGTCAGCTGCATCGGCCTCTTGCAATGCAAACGACCTACCCGCTGAGCTATCACTACAGCCTATGAAAGTTCAAATATCAATGTCAGCATGAACAATTGATCTTCAGTTATAACGCCAGCCTGAAGTGGTATTATAGCCTAGATGAGGTAACCTTCTCTCCTGGGAGTTCAGATGGACTGGTAAGTGAAGCAAGCTTTATTTTCTCATATTGCACGTTCCCCATATTTACTTAGCTAAAGAAATAAAATAATTCTCCCTTGATTTCTAGGAAGGCTATCCTAGATGATATACACATACCTTAAAATATCTTAACGTTTTATAATTACATTTTAAGAAAGTTCTCTTAAAGTTTTCAAAAGAAAACAAACTCAATAACTCACTCCAGAGCAGGTCTCAGAACTCTGATTTTAATGTGTCTAATATTTGATTTAACTCCAGAAATTGTTCTTTCTGACTTGGATCTATAGAACGGCCAGATTCCTGGCAGAGCATGTCATATTACTAGAATGAAAATTTAAAAATTATATACTCAGAACATGGGAGGAGTATAAGATGTGCATTTTCAGCCAGTTCAAGAAGTAATGCTTAGAGAACCAAGAAATGGTAGGAGAGCACCATCTGGACAGAACTCCAAGCAAAGCCTGCAGTGGCCTGGAAACAGGAAAGAAAAGGGGGAGGGGAGGGAATGAAAAGGAAAATCAGAGGAGTATGAAGGAGCCGTATTATATCCTCTAAGAGCTGTGTGGAGAATCTAGCATGGGCACTGCTGGATAGGTCTCCTCCCCCATAACCTCCCCCTCCCCCACCCCCTCACCCCACAATCCCGCCAAAGAAAAATCAAGAGGAAAACAAGAAGTAAATACTGCCTGGACTAGATTGCACCGAAACGAATCTAAACGCAAAAAGACGACAGCATTACACTTCATTAATATTGAAAAACTGATTTTTGATTTTTGGCTCCCCCTCACCCACCACCTCCCAGTCTTCCCACTCCCGCCAAAGAAAAACCAAGAGGGAAACAAGAAGCAAACACTGTCTAGATTACACCAAAGCGAATCCAAACACAAAAAGACGATGACACTAATCTCGGCCATTCTTGGGTCTACAACTGTACCTCATATGTCTCACTAATTAAAAAAAAGATGGCATCACACTTCATGAATACGGAAAAACTGCCGTCTTCTTTTGTTGTTGTTTGTTTTTCATTCGGTTTTGGGTCACACGCGGCAGTTGCTCAAGACTTAATCCTGGCCGGATTCTGGCAATCATATAGGGAGGATGCAGGGACTGAACTCAGGTTGACTGCGTGTAAGGCAAATGCCCTAACCCCTGTCCTATGGCTCCACCCCCAAACTACTGAATTCTGAAGTAAACTTCAGAAATAAATCGTAAATCTTCACATGATAGTTCAATTCGCACTTTCGTTTAAAATTTTCAAATAAAATTTTCAAATAATGGTTCCTTTTGAACCATGCCAAGGACATGATTCAAAATGAAGCAGAGGCCGGGAGTTCAATTTACACGGCCCCCTAAAAACAGCAGGGTGGAGGCCCCCAGTACTGCCGGGCCTAAGCAGTACCACAGTGCCTCCCCGTAGAGGACAACTTCCTCACAGAAGGCAAACCTACGACAGTGATTTCCCGCCACAGTGGCAGTTCATCATGGAGCCAAACTGCCACAGCGCTCTCCAAGACAGCACCAAGCCACGAAAGCACCGTCCGACACAGAATGAGCCCTACACAGAACCTCCTGGAGACAGAACCTTCCTAACACAGCCCGGAGGGGTGTGGTGGCTTCCCACCACACCAAAACTGTCACCGTGAGCGCCAAAGGGCCTTGTGCACAGCTTCGAAGCCCGCTATTAAAAATATTCAAAGTTCTTCAAAAAGAAGTTTCCATTCCTCTTTCTACAGAATCAAATAGGAGACAGAAAATAGAATTGGCATATATACTCCAATTCTTAATTTAATTTGTATAAAATTTAAGTTAATTTGTACAAAATCTATACAAATTTGCATCTAAGAACTCTCTGGCTTCCTTAAGATGGATGAAGGGGCCAGAGCGATAGTAAAGTGGGTAGGGCATTTGACTTGAACACGGGGAACCCGGCTTCCATCCCTGACACCCTCAAGCTTGCCAGTAGTGATCCTTGAGTAGTGAGCAAGGATTAAGCTCTCAGCACTGCCATTGTTACCCCAATCACTCTCCCGTTCCTCCTCCAAAAAGATGGATGAAGGCAGGGATGGCCACCTTACTGCAAACATCAAAAACAGAGGCGCAATTCTGAAAGGGCACAACTT